CAATTAAGGCAAGACCGATCAACTGATCCGACCAACTAAGGCGCATGCGTACATGGATAACGCCGGTGATACTGTAACTTTTAAGCTCCATAACTCGGAAAGTACTCAATGAAACATAATTTTATTATAGTGTTTTGGAAAGCTCTTGAGATAAGCTACAAGAATATGTAATAAAAAATAGGGATTTCCATTTAAAAAAACATTAATGACCTTGACTTGATTTTGACAAAGTCACTCAAAGTCAAGTCCACATTTCCATCAAGTGTCCCCCTTCAAGCCATGCAACTTTCGTTCGAAAAATTTTTCAATAAAATCATTGATTCGCGAGATAATCGACCATATCACTTAAAATAAAACACCCTGTATAGAGTACCAAAAATTTTGTTTATAGGGTAGCAGTGCTCGCAGCCTTAGCTATAGCGGCAACATGTGGCTTCTGGCTGTGGAAACGTCGTCGTTCAGCGTTGTCGGATGATTGCGCATCTTCAGAAAGAACCTCCACAGGACCGTGGTATCCACCTCCTCATTATAGCCGATGTAGTTCCTTTGTCCAAGCATTACCACCACCATACACTGAGGTATTTATAAATAATTGACTCGAAATTTTAAAAAATTTATTATTTTTTTGAATTTTGTTAACAAAGTTTAAAAATATTAATAATATAATAAATATAATTTATTATAGAAATATAGATATTGTATGTATCTTTTTACTATTATTTTATGTTAAAAATAAATTTAAGATCCACTCTTATCATGCAATCTACACTCCAGGTGACTGCAAAGCCAGATCTTTATCCATTAGTAATTGGCTATGATGATAGTTCGGGCAAAGGTACTTCTGGTTTTGTGATGCGTTACTTCAGATCGTTGTCACATGCGAGTACATTGGATTCATTGAGCTCTAGTTTCATGTGCAATATGGTGAACGAAGCAAATACCATTATTCCACCACCGTATTCTTGTAATGATAGCGTTGACGAATTATCAGCGGAATGTGAAAGAAGAGAAACTGACGATGTTGGCTCTATCATCTCCTTGACAAATCACAGAACAACTTCTGACATATCAAGCCTAGGTGCTCAATCGCCTTGTTCTCCGCCAAGAGCTACAAGCCCAACAATAGAAGTATGTTAATTATATTTTACAAATTTAAGCCACGATTAAATTTAATTAATTTTTATATGTCTCAATTATGTCTTTACATGTGCATTGATTCGATTCGATAAGTCAAGCTATTAAATAACAAATTGGATCAATGCACATGTAAATTACTAATTTTATAATGTTTTAGTTTATATTTATCATTTTCCAGGTGCGGGAATTATTGGATAAGATACAACAACTTCCTCATTTATCTAACGGACATTCTACCACTATGCATTGTCAACAGAATCAAACTCCGGTCTTGTATGTAACAAACAGCGATGGTACTACGCAACAACGGCCTTTAAGTCCCAACGATGTTGGTTCATACAAAATCAGAAGAACCAGAGGCAAGCTATACATGCCATTGGGATTGTCGAATTCACGAAGCAAAACGAAGCGATGGTTATCCCGATCTGCACCAACAACGCCCTCGGGTACAATACCGATATCCTTCTTGCCTGGACAGAGTAGAAGGCCCTCAGAGGCTGACAACAACAACCAACAGGCAGTACCATTGCTTTACGAGCAAGATGAGAACGAGAACAATAATACGGATCAACCGTCTTCGGGCGTTCCATTGCTCACCGAACAAGAAGAAGAACGACAATCGACATGACATGATGTCTAAACCGTTCGTGCCATTTAATACCCGTCATCGCGAAGATTTCGCGCGATGATATTACCATACACACACGCGCGCGCGCGCGCGCGCACACACACACACACACACACACACACACACACACACAGATTTAGATATTTTTTAATATGGCTCTGATACACATTCATCATGTATGCCGTATCATAAAATTATACACAGTCAGGATGTATTTATTTTTATGTAGATGTGAATTTTATTTTTCTTTTATTTATCTGTCTAAATTTATTATTGTTGTCGATTTATTGTTTAAATTTATATTTACTATACAAAATTAAGTATATTTAAACACAATTCTAAATCAGAGAAGTGTAGTCATGCACATGTTTTTAATACTAACGCAAGATTTAATTATAGGTTTCGTTCTCTATGTACTATTTTCCTCCAGTTCTTTACAGAAATCCAATTAATACTGGATTAATATCAATAATACTGAAAATTACTTATTTTGAGTATTAAAAACACTGATTGTGCAGAATAAGTAATTAATCATTATTTTTTAGCATTAAATTTCTATAAGGACGACATAAGGGCTGGTAATTGATAAAAAAATAACAGAGAGAATGAAATGAATTAAATCTTACTGTATATCATCTCGAATGTGCTTAATTTTATGTGACAAAACATACATGATGCTATTATATGAAATAATGTTGATTTTTCGATTACTGTTAACTGATAAATGCCGCCTATCTTTTTAAACTAAAAATTTCTTTTTTAAACTAAGAAATTTGAAAGAAATTAGGGCTGTCTTTGATGAAATGACTCAAAGCCTTATCTACAGTTTTAAAATTCGATTTTACCATCACGCTCTTAAATATTTATGATCTTAAACATTAACTCTTTAGCTGCGATATGCTTTAAATAAAAAACCGTCCTTTGCAGAACAAAATAGTCACGAGTCACTCATTGAAATATGGAAAGGAGAACCGAATGGATAATTTAAATATCCTATATGAGCTTTGGGGAATGTAGTGTTAAAAAAGCTTAAAATAAACTTAAAATTACTCTATTATTAATCACATTACTATCGCAAATATATGTATATTAAGTATATATTTTTTTTATAAAGCCTTGAGAGATAAGTAATGATAATGTAGGAAAAATAAATATAAGATTTTCAATTTCAGACAAAAAGTCATTTTGATATTAATTTATTTAGATAGCTAAATCTCTTGAAAACAGCTTTTGCAAGATATCCACTACAAATTTTGTTGATAGAATATCAATGGAAATTTTACAAAATTTCAACAAATTGCCGAAATCGTATAAAATAAATGAATAAATAAATAAA